ATGGAGATGGAGATCGATGGAGATGGAGATGGAGGTGGACTATGAAGAAATCGATGGAGATCAATGGAGAGGAGGTGGACTGTGAAGAAATCGATGGAGATGGAGATGGAGATCGATGGAGATGGAGATGGAGATGGAGATCGATGGAGATGAACGTCGCCTGTGAAGAAATCGATTTAGGGTATATTTGTCAAATATGTCTTGTTCCACTTAGTTCCAGGGGTTGAGGGTGGACATGCTTGTCCCACACGTATTCCACTTAGTTCCACTAAGAAACACACCAAACATGGGACAAGTGTGTCCTGTTCTGTCCTGTCCCACCCTGTTCCACGTACCAAAGGCTGAGGCATACTTGTCATTTGTCAATTACCTTTGAAAAACATGTACACCAACTGTTCGATGAAATACCCGACTAGAGTTCTTATGATTTGGTGAGTTAATTTGTTTTATTATGATGGAGGCGTTGAGACATGTACAACTAGTTGAACCATTTTCATGTAACTTGACTGGTGTTCTGCATCTAAATGCAATATCTTATTACTCTTTAACTGAACCACAGTTGGATCCTCTATATTCTGAGTAGTTTGAAAGAGTCTTCCCAAAACCAAAAATAATCAAGATGATCCGGTTGCTGAAGGGTTTTGATTTGATCTATGGAAGATTGGTTAATGTCCATTACAAATGCTTTTGTGAATGATGAGTTTCTTATGCAAAGCATGCTTAGTTTTCAGTCACTTGGCATAGCTTCTGTTGGGTCCCATTTTAATTTCCACAGCAAATATTATGTACACTGGGTACACGCCATGCCTTCGTGTCAATAAGCCAATTTATAGGAAACATGTTGCCATGGATTCTTTCAAGAAAGTATGCGACATTTTAGATGTATCTGGCTCGACAGAGGAAGTTGGTGCAATATGCCCACAGGTCACATCTCCCCGAATATGAACGGTTGCCCTTGATGAGATACTGAACCAATCAAAATATGAAACGAGTGTTAAAGATTATGCATGCATAGCCAAAGAGGATCATGTGGCTCTGCAAATAGTGGTCAACTGTCTTAGGTTCTTGGATGATGCCGTGTCCTATGACCCTAACTCAACTTCATGGATACGGCTTGTGCCTAAAAAGGATGCAGACTCACCCCCTTCTGCTAAATGGGCAGATTTGCTTGAAGAATGATAAAAAATTTCTCTTTTATGTCACAAAGATTGAGACCATGAAAGAAGGGTTGTTGCAGATAAAACATGTCTTGGCATATAAAAATATTGGGTACATAGAGTTGACACGAACAAGATATTGCTTAGAAGAAATTGACTAAATCGTTGGAGCATTCGTCTTGATGTCTGTTCACACTTCCATTATACTCTCTCTATGGTAGTATTAGACATATTGAGCTTGACATTTGCTGCTGGCTTCCTGAGGATATTGGTGGGAACAAATTTTACTTGTGTTGGAAGATTTTGACCTCAGATGGAGAGAACATGTTAAGGTATGTACTCAAGAAGTTGGATAGGGACCTTGGAGTTATTATATATGTGCACGAAATGGCAGAAAAAAAAAGATTTTGGAGCTGCAGGGTCTTGTTCGGGGCATAGCGTTTAGAACAGAACACTTGCTTACAGAGGGAACGTGTTCTTTGCTCACAGAATTAGTCTTCGATGAAGGCCATCATTAAAGACAATATATCAAAATGTATTCTCCTTCAAGGTAATTTCTTGCTCAAGAACTATATTTTACTTGAAGATCTATTTATTTAGCATGTATAATTAGGAATGATTATATAATGTAAACACATACATTATCTTATCCAACCATTATAGAGCAATGCTTTGATAAAGACTACAGTTGAGGCCTACCTCAGATCTTTCACTACTTATTTCCCTTACCTTTTCACCTATGGTTATGAGTGATGCTGTATAGGTTTTTTAGCAACATCAGGCTTCTGCCTTTCTTCTTAACTGCATAGGCAGAGACACTACAGTAAAATGAACAAGATAGAAATCCCTAAGAGATCTCCAACTCCCTGTCCAGAATTAAGCTTAGAGGTCCTGTTGTTCATCACCACAATGTGCTCACTACCCCATAACATAATGCTAAAAAAAAGAACAAACAAGTTATTAATTCAGCTAGAAATTCTAGTTAATAAACCATAGATTATTCTTCTGTTTCATCGAAATAAAACATGATCTACTGAATGAGACAAATTAATTTCGACCATCTTATTTCAATAATATTCCATTGAATCAGTCATTAATTTCAAATGAAACAAAGTCACTTATGAGACATTACCAATAAACTTTAATAGATTACACACTTGACCATTGTCATGAAAAACATTGAAGAGCCAAAATGGGTTTAGACATTCCAAACCAACAATCTGCAAAACCAGATGATTGCATGATATATGGGTTGGATGATCACCCAACTTGAAACAATGTCTGCCAGGCTACATGTATAGTTTAAAAATATTTTTGGCTAAAACCAGGCGTCAATTAGGATGGTTTCCTACACAGTTTAGCAGCTTCTCACTTTCAGTTTCATGTGGCATAGCACAAATATCAAACAAGTTAGACTGCACAAGATGAACTTGATCATGAGGCTTAATTGTTCAAAATGCATAACAATGCATGCAAGGGGTTATAATTATATTTTTTTCCCATACACACAACGATGAACAATTAAGTCCAGTTTACCATCAGGATCATAGCACATTTAATGATACCAAATGTTGAAATAAACCGATGATTACACTGCAAAATTCAATATCAATTGTATAATTATTATGATGATCAATATGACAATCATTTGTCCAATTCGCAGATGATTATGAAGCATTAGAAATTAGTTTACTTACTTGAAGAAGATGGTGCTATGTTAGAAGACCTTGAATACCGAGATTAATTAGGTTAGTGATATTTAAATTCCCTTCCTCTCGAAAATGGTATATTTAAGAGAGAAATTTGGAGAAGAACAGAACTGCAGAGAGAGGGAATTGGGATCTCCCATCCATCAAGACAATTACCCATCTACGGTCCATTTAACAATTATTTATAAGGCAGGGCCACTTATATGATTAATGATATGGAATATATCGAATATATACAACGGCAAGCAGCAAAATGTTTTAGTTCATATGTAACCGGTAATTATAGTTGCGTTGCTTTACACTCATATATATATACCATGCATGATAGACTTTGAGCAAACTCAGACTAGTCCAAAGGCCTTTCCATTCACTTTCCTCCTGTAGGAACTTGGGAAGTGAACTTTGAAAACTATCAATGCTTGGCTTTTCTTTATCTTTTATGCAATGTGTAGATTCCACATTATTATTACTTTACCTTTGTTATCATTTTATGCTTCAGTACTTCCTTTAATAAAATTCACCCCAAAAAGCAACTAATGGCAATGAATGGACCATCAGTTCTTGAAATATCACCATTTCAAATCATGATTAAAGTTGCTCTGGTTATTCTTTTAGAGCAAAAGCTTGTGTTGTATTCCTTCTATGAGCTTGTATGATTAGATCCATGAACTGAATGGGTAATTTATTAAAGTTTACTACCAAAAATCACATACATTTTCTAATCATGAAACAACTTAACTTTTAGATTACGATTGCATCCAAGACTACCTTGTGCCTTCAAGGAGCCTAGCTTGGTGCATGGCGCTCACCCCGCCCTCTTTGAAGTACAACACATTCAGTTCATGTAGAACAAGATTACAGCTTGCTATTTGAGTGTACACAATTACAATAGAATAGCAACCTTTTAGCGAATACATTATTTGGGTAGCATAATAGTTCTTTTTCATGACTAATTAATTGATTCCGACTAATGACATCCAATATTGCTCAGCAGTACACACATCTGACTGTGGATTGCAAGATTGTGAGGATGAAGATGATATCTTTATTAGGGGAAAAAAGAATCTTGTTGTGGCAAATTGCACCCAGATTAAGAGGATAATGACACATGAGTTGCTTGACCAAGTAGCATTTTAAGGTAAAATATAAAGCTTCTTTTTATAAAATGTGATGATAAGAATCTTGGCAAAAGCTAAACAATAATGTCTAGCAGGAGACTAACTAATAAAATTGTGCGTCTTAGCTTTTTGACCAGTACTATTGCAGATTTCTAGGTGACAGAAAAGATGTTAAGCTTAAAAGCTTAGGAATCCTATGTTGTCATGTTGGTTCTTACTAACCAGCTATAATTTCTTCGTGATGTTTTGCAAGAAACTAAGAAGTTTAGCTTGTAATTTATTCGACTGTCAAACTTACCAATGGAGAGTGAAACATGGAACTATAACAATCAAGTTAAGCAATATTGATTATCAAGGTATAGAATGGGGTTATGGGTGTCATGGCTCGGTTAAACGAATTTGAAGAAACAAGATAGTTGCATTGCTTTAGACACAACTTAACATTATATATCAACCCATTTGCCTATTCAAGGAAAAGATATGAACTGCTATCCATCGTAATATTCATTCTGATTTGTGTTTTCTACTTTAGCGCCCCCCGTCTATTGTACTCATTTGATAGGTAACCTTGCTCAAGAAATTTCCTTTGCCCATTGACTGCTGCATTTCTCTAGTTTGGCATAGATTACAAAATCATCTTACTTACTCTTAACGGAAATCCTAGCCGAAGACTTGGGAACAAAGGTGCGATACTGCGACTGAACTGTGTCTAATAATTTCATTAGTTGATTGTAGGAGTGAGTACTGTTTTTATAAATTTTCAGTCATGGTCAGTTAGCCCCTTTTGATCTACTCCTGTACTTGCATTAGGATTTAGAACCTTAATTAGCATACCAGTTGGAAATTATCAAAATTTAATTGTAGAACTGAAAAGGGTATCATTTTCTTTATTCAAGAACTTGGTGTAACTTCTTAAGTAATGCGAATGAAAAGCAAAATTAAAGAACACACAATATTAGACAGATCACCATCCGCAAACAACATGATCTCAAGGAAAACACTCACAAAATGAGGGATTAATCAGCCATAAAACATGAGTTGTAGCAATTAAATTAACCATAATTCACCTAAACTTCCTAGCAGACTGAAAGATCGCTACTATTGAAATAAAAATAAAATAAAAACAAAAAGAGAAAATCAAAGATAGGGTTGCATATGATATGGGCAAAAAGGGGTCAGTTTAGAATATCCTATCAACTGGATGCTCTTTTGTTCTTGATTCTGTCTGATCAATCGCTCATTATCTCTCTCTTCCTCTTCTGTAGATAGCAAATTCACGATACCTGAAAAATTACATTCATATGAACAATTTAGATTACCCTATGCTATATTCATTTTATAAATTAATATGGATGAAGAAGATAAAGATACATACAGCCTTACCCTGAACTGGAAACGCGACGACTTGACTTAATAGGAAGACTTGCTACCGGATTCCCGTGGTGCATTGCATCTAAAGCACTCCATTCTGCTAGCAAAGTTGTGCTCATTGCAGCCAGGCCTGCAAAAATCAAGTTACATACTATATATAGACAAATGAGAGATACATATATAACTTTAGTCACGCCCATGAACTTTATATGTCATGTTTTCTAGCAGTTACTACGGTTCAGGTCATTTTTCTTAGTTCTGGATCTCATTTTCATAATGTCTGGGTGGTATTGATGAGATCTAAAATGACGATAATAATCTGAGGAAAGTAAATGCAGGCTTTTAAATGTAGTTAGTGTTTATTTTCGTATGAAATTAGCTAACAACGATTTTGGCACAATTTGTGACTTGGCTACTATCATAGTCGCATGATCTTCCATTAATCTTGCAACATTAGGGATCCTAATTGAGAGGAATTACGAATTATTTTCATGCATGAGTACGTTCTCTCATATATGCATGACGTACAAGGTGAACACGTAGGGTTTCCGTGGAATCGTAAGAAAATAAAGAAGAGACATATATGCCAAAATTAACTAGTGGGTATTTAACTCAAGAGTACGTAGGAGACAGATCAAGATTACCTGCTGCATATCCAGTCACCAGACTTCCACCCTGAGCGGCTGCTGCCACCTCCGGCACCGCCAACACCACCACCACTTCCGCCACCAAACCCAAAACCCCTCCCACGAGACATATCACCATCAAAAGCACCACCACCACCAGTGGAGGCCAAGTCATCCTTGAAAGCACCACACTTGAAGCAGCTGGAGCGGCTAGCAAAGTTGTGAGCACCACAGTTGCCAACATTGCAGTACCAGTCTCCAGGTCTGACATCTGGGCCTGCAGTGAAACCAAATGCAGAAGGGGTGATACCTCCTCTACCACCAAAACCGCCATGCTTGGGCTCCCCACATCTTTGGCAAGAATCCCTCCTCTGGAAGTTCAAGTGCTGGCATGACCTGCAGTTCCAATCTCCTGGTCTGCTCATCTTAATTTTCTACAAAAAGAAACCAAATGATATTAATATTAATTAGAAGCAAGAGATGATACATAGATTTCAAGCGGAGGATATGATGTATACCTTGTGATGGATGGAGAAAGAGCAGAGTGAGTGTGTTTCTTTTGAGGGATTCCTGATGCTGAATATGGTGGTGGAGGGTGATGGTGAGGGTTTATATATATACATGCAAAAAGGCCTCGAAATTCGGGAGATTCGGGCAGCTGTAGTTGAAGCTGAAGCTAACCCAAACTTTCTCTTTTTAATATTCTTCCCTTCAGCAATGGGACTTATAAACTAATTAAACATCTAACAAAGTTGTACTTATTTATTTACTAACTTATCATTATTCGGTTTTTTTTGTTTACTCATCTCATTATTAATATGATATTATGTAAGTGCATGTCATCATGAAATAGATATTAAGTTATATAAACATCATATATATATATATAGTTTTTGACTGAATAATTAATTAATTATATATGTACATATAAATAATATTTTACTCATATTTAGGAACCAATGGCCTAGATTTAATAAGCATTTTATTTTTATTTCATCATATATATATATATATATATGTATATTTCTATGGTAAAGAAAAAGAGGCATTTAATTAATTGGAGAGGTACGTAAACGAATACATAATTAGCTGTAAACATTGTGTAGAATTAATTATAAAATCTCTAAAGATGGAAAAATTGTGGAGTTTGATAAAGTTCATCAAGGTGTAGCTTCTTTTAAGGCTTCTAGAGTGCATGAACACAATGTTACATAAATCAAGATATTCTACTTCCATTTTCCAAGAATGCCCTTCCTTCTTTCTTACAATACCTAATATAACCTTCCAATTTCAATTTCGTACCAAAGAATTCCTCTTTTTTATCATAAGAAAATATTCATTTACATATCACCTTTCAAAATCATATATATATATATATATATATATATATATATATATA